TCCATCCCCCTTCGTGCTCCCCCCACCCCCAGACTTGGACCCTTGGCAGGGGGATCACCCCCTGTGTAACAGCACCCCCCCCCCGTCCCTCCCTGGGTGGGGGCAAAACCTCACTACAGGGGCTGTCATGTCTCACTGCAACTCCAATCCCTCCCCCCCAGCCTGATTTTTCCCTTCATGCCCCCGCTCTGCCACTCCAGACAGTTAATTGACCCACCCAAACTTGTAAATTTCTGCCCCCTGCTCACACCCTGCCCCTCCCCCCACTCCGATTTGCCCCCTAAACTCCTTTTTAATGATGATAAACAGCCAGCAGCAATCCCTGAAGCCATGTAAGGGCTGACTGAGGGAAACAGCTACAGCAGCTCTTGTGCTGGCTCCTCGCAGAACCCCTACTTTTGCTTCGCGGAACCCCAGGGTTCTGTGGAGTACCAATTGGGAAACACTGCTCTAATCTATATTGTAGCTATAAAGACAGTGAGAAGTTATTTGTGAAGCAGTTTCATATCAACATTCAAGGATTAGAGAGGAAAGGGAATAAAATCGGAGATGATTTTATGTTGGAATTTGATTAGTGAGAAAAGGGGCTGACGGCATGTTAGATGAGTTTTTGGACATTAGACTGAAGATGCTAAGCAGGAAGTATTTCAGATCAATAACTAAGAACTAAAGGAGAAAGGATTTAATCACGTATGGTAGTTGATCATAGGCAGTTTAACATCTAACGCACCCTCACATCCAGTATGTGGGGAAATGATTCGGGGCAGCTGTTTCCTACCAAAAGCAACAGTGGCAGGATTTAATGGGGTCAGCTCCCAAACCATCCATGTTTGTGAATTACAGACAACAAGGGAAAAGTTTGAGCGGAGTGGAATTTTGAATGCCTCTACGATTCAGAGGGAGAGCATGATTTGGGCCCTTAGCTCCTCCTACTGGTATGCATAGGTATTCAAAATTCCACTTGGCGTAGTCAGAAGGATATGGGGAGGCGATTTTTTGATCCCAATGAGGATGTGTTAATGCCTAGACAAAGGGTGTCGCTATTGTTTTATCAGTGTAAGTGCACTCGCAATAAAGTTCAATTTATAGTAATATACTTAGGTCAGCACCGTCAGGATAAGTGGAAGGAGTATTGTACCAGTAATCCAGACTATAATTGGGATAATACCAAAGTAGCTCATACTCAATTGGAGAAAATTTTAGAAGGAAACCCTAAAATAAAACAGATTATTTCTAACACTTTAGATAGATTTGGGTTCTATTTTCATATTATCCCCGTCTCTGATTATTCCAGTAAATAAGACCGGCATCACGGCAGGTCTGTTGACTCCGAGTTTGTCCGATCCTACTAATCCTTGGCGAAAACAGCTAATTTTTTTTGTTTAAAAATTACTAATATAGAATCCGGAGAATATACCGAAAGGCATTTTATTTTAAGTGATAACTGGGTTTCACCACCGCCCAGATACGGTAACCAACCCTGCCCAATAAACAAAGGAGAGTGTTGGAGAGGCGTTCTGTGCAGGCTCCCTGTAAAACATTGGCTAGCATGAAACATCCAGCACATAAAATGAGGGAGAAGAGACCAGGTTGATTTGTCAGGATACAGTTACTTAAAAACCTATTCTATAAAATTCACAGGAGACAATATTGTCAATAACATTTACAAGGAAGTCATTTAAATGTATTTAGCAATCCTCTGCTTCCTCGCTTGTTGGGTAATAGTGATTAGGATTTGCCTTCAATGGATCTCGGGTTCTCGATAAATGATCAGTGGATATTGCTTTTGACAATATTTTATTTACTATTTTTAAGTCTCATAGAATTCGCCACTATAGCAGTTAGGTATACCTGTCACCAAGTCCCAGAGGACAAGAAAAACTAATTAAACATGATGGTGACAAACCTGTCACCTGTCATCCTTTTGGTCTACCAGGTAAAGTTCAAAAAATAACTCTATTTCTTCACGAATTGGCTACCGCCAGGAGTCAAACCAAAAAGGAAAGCATACAGGTATAAATTACTGAATCTGTTAATAGTTCAGTGCCCCCATTAGACTCGGGACCTATATTAGGACCCAAATTCAAGATTTTCTGTCTCCTGAAGAAAAGAGACAAATAGCTTATTCTTGTTGAATTGAAACTGAAATGATTTAATCATGGCAGAAGGAGGAAAAAAGCTTATCCTCCATCTCAGTGCCATTTCAGGGGAATACCACAAGCTGGCAGTAATTATGATGATCTACTAGACTGGGACTCAGCAGACCTGGGTCTATCACTTTCCAGCAGGGTGACTTTGGGCAAGGTGCCACCGTTTTCCATGCCTCAGTTTCCCCATAATGAACCTGCCCTCCTTTGGAAAGTCAGTTGAGCGCTGCGGATGAGGCAAGCTCAAGGCAATTGCCAATGTATCATTTAACTACTGATAAAGTGGAGGAAAGAAAAAACTACCAGGGAGTAGGTCCTACCCATGTGAAGAGTTTTTAGCAGGGGCTGATTCCAGCACAAGACGTACATTACACTCTAGCAAGAGAAGGGCCCTTTATAGCAGTGCCCATGTGTGCATGCCAGGGCTTAGACCAGTATCGTTAACAATCCCCCCTCGTTACACTGGTCTGATGTCTCTGGTGTTGGCTTGGTGCTTGGCCTGCAACTCAAGGTGAGTTCCAGGCTGTCAGACGGGGGCTGCATCTCTCCCAGAGCCTTCTGGCCACTCTCTGGCCACCCCTGACTCCCCAGGGTAGCCAATGCCAAGGGGGGGAGGGGCAACTTTCCCTGTGAATCCAGAGTGGGCCCCTCTGGCCTTACACTCTGCTAAGGACTGACAAGCTGGGTGGGTCCGAGGGAGCAGCCCCATGGGTATTACTGCCTGGCCTGCTCAGCCCCACACCCAGCTGACATTCAGTGGGGCTCCAAGGGAACCCCTCAAATATCCACAGAGGCTGGCCAGGGTCAGGACAGTGGCCTTATGTGGGAGGGGTGGAGGTGGCAGTGACATCACAAAGGCCTGTGGCAGAATTTCAGCTGACTGGGGACAGGGATGACCTCACAAAGACCCTGACAACAGCCAATCAGGACAGAGATGCAAGGCCGGGGCAAGCTCAGAGATTCCTGCGGCTTGGCAGCAACGCGGCCCCTTCCCAGGTCTCTGCAGGGGTCAGATGGACAATTGGGACCTAGGGGCGGGGGCAGGAGGAGCCTCGTCAGCTTTTTTCTCCTTCCCTGCGGCCGATCGTGTTGGGCCCAGTAAGATGGTCGGCGCCTCAGAGAGGTTTGTCCCCTCCACTCCCTCTGTCTCGCCTTCTCCTGTGTCTTCCCCCTTCCCATTTCCCTGCCCCACCAAGCATGGTGGGTAGGTGGGTGTTGGGTGTTGGGTGGGTGGGTTTGGGCTGTGGGCGGCCTCACACAGAGCTGGGGCTCACAGAGCGCTGGGAGCCGGAGGTGACCTGGCCTGTGCTTTTAGGAGTGTACTGAGACCTACCCCACCTGCCTCCCAGCTCCCAGAGTCTCACTGCGGATTGGCCGAGCAGGTGGTTACTGACGGGGGAGACTCGTGGCCTTTTGTTCTCTTTAAAGCTGTTCTCAGGGAGTCGTTGTTAGCGGTTCCCAGCCATGCTGGAAGGGCCTAACAAGGGGGGGCTCTGCAGGGGTCTTTTTTTGGATCGGTTCTGTTCAGTCTTCATCAGTGATGTAGACGATGGCGTAGACGATGGCATAGAGAGGACACTTCTTAAGTTTCCAGATGATACCAAGCTGGGAGGGGTGGAAAGTGCTTTGGAGGAGAGGGTCATAATTCAAAAGGATCTGGACAAATTGGAGAAATGGCCTGAGGTACATAGGATGAAGTTGAATAAGGACAAATGCAAAGTGCTCCACTTAGGAAGGAACAATCCGTTTCACATACACAGAACAGGAAACAACTGTCTAGGAAGAAGTTCTGCAGAAATGGATTGAGGGGTCAGAGTGGATCACAAGTTAAATAGGAGTCAACAGTGTGATGCTGCTGCAAAAAAAGCAAACATGATTCTGGGATGCATTAACAGGTGTGTTGTAAGCAAGACACAAATTCATTCTTCTGCTCTACTCTGCACTGATTAGGCCTCAGTTGCAGTATTGTGTCCAGTTCTGGGCACCACATTTCAAGAAAGATGTGGAGAAATTGGAGAAGGTCTAGACTAGAGCAACAAGAATGATGAAAGGTTTAGAGAGCATGAGCTATGAGGGAAGACTGCAGGAACTGGGCTTGTTTACTTTGGAAAGGAGAAGACTGAGAGGGGACACGATAGTGGTTTTCAAGTATCTAAAAGGGTGTTACAAGGAAGAGGGAAAAATGGTTCTCCATGGCCTCTAATGATAGGACAAGAAGTAATGGGCTTAAACTGCAGCAAGGGAAGTTTAGATTGGACAGAGTGGTTAAACTCTGGAGTAAATTGCGTAGGGAGTTTGTGGAGTCTCCATCCCTGGAGATATTTAAGAGCAGGTTGAACAGGCACCTGTCAAGGATGGTTTAAATGGTGCTTGGTCCTGCCGTGAGGGCAGAGGGCTGGACTTGATGGTCTCTCTAAGTCCTTTCTAGTTCTACTGTTCTGTGATTCACAGACCAAACCGATCAGTCCCAGAGCAGCAGGGATTGGGGGCGGGTTGAGCTGCTTCTTTGCAGTTCCTGCTTCTCGGCACAGTTCCTGAGTCTCTCCAAGGGGCCAGGGCTATTCACACACTTGATGACGGGTGCCCATGAGCGGTGATTGGGCTGCAGCTGGTTTCAGAGCTCTGGGCTCTGACTGTCCATGTGTCCTAAGGGGCTGGCTGGGGGCAGGACACCAGCCATGGGAAGGGAGCCCCCCAAATAGGGGGCGCTGGAATTGCTCTGAGCCCGACCCCTCGGGGGTGACCTGGGCCTGCCTTTGGGATGTCCCCTGTGACCTCTTGGCCAGCTGCTTCTCCCAGTCTCGCTACAGGAAGGAGGTTTCCCAGTTTCCTGGCAGTGACAGCCCCCCCCCCGTCTGGTCTGGCCTCTGGCCAGCCCTGCAGAGGAACCTGCGGGCAGAACCCCAGACAGGTGCCAGAACAGCTGGGAGGTGAGCATGGGTGGGGGAGAGGAAGCAGTTTGACCTTAAGGAGCAGCAGAGCCCAGTTGTAACTACCTCACCCCCACCCCACATTGGAGGTGAGTGACCTCTAAGCCAGCCCCCTGACCTCATCATGGGCAGGCGGCTCCGACATGCTGCAGGGCTGGCAGCTGCAGGGCTGCAGGCTGGGAGTGACCCCTGGGGAGGGCCAGGCCTGAGCCAGACTTGGGCCCAGTTCATCTTCTCCTGGCTCAGGGGAGACCCTGGGACGTTAAGGGCCCATGCTCCAGGAGCTGGGAGCAGGACACTGATGGGGCCCTGTCTCCTCCCTTCCATTCCAGCTCAGCACAGCCCCCACTAAGGAGCTTGGGACCCAGCTGAGGACACTGTCCAGCTGGCCAGGGAGGGGCCTGACCCCTCTGCCCACTGCTGCTGCACTAGAGGTAAGGGACCCCGCTGGGCAATGGGGGTGAGGGTGTGTGGGGGGTGTTTCTGGGATACCACAGTATACACAAGGCCTGAGAGGGGACAGGGGAGCAGTTTTCAAGTACCTAAAATTGGGTTATAGGGAGGAGGAGACAAACTGTTCTCCTTGGCCTCCAAGAAGAGGACAAGCAGCAATGGGCTTAACAGTGCTTGGTCCTCAGTCACCCCCCTACCCTTTCTGGCTGTGTGGGAGCCCCCCGAAGAGGCTGGGTTGGAATCGCTCTGAGACTGATCCCTTTGGGGGTGACCTGGGCCAGCCCTTGGGGCGTCCCTGAGACGTCTCTCCCGCCCCCTCACCCAATCTCGCTGTTGATTGGCTGAGCAGGGGGCCACAGACAGGGAGGAGGTTTCTCAGATTGCCGGGTGTGACCCCCCGCCCTTCCTTTGCAGGCTCTGCACAAGCGGGGTCGGGCCTCCAGCTGGCCCTGCAAGGGGACCTGCGGGCAGAGCCCCACACAGGCCAGGAGAGCTGGTGGGTGAGCATGGGCTGGGCAGGGGGGCAGTTTTCCCTTAGTGCTGGGCGAGGGGGAAGGGGAGACTGGGGACCCTGGGGCAGGGCTGTGTTGGGACTTTCCTCCATCAGGGACAGGGGAAGGAGATGGAAGTTGAAGTCAGGGCCTGGCTGGCTTTGGGATAGGGACCCTCAAATCCCACACACCTGGGGGGAGGGGAAGGGGCAGCTCATTGACACAGCCTGGGCACTGGTCTATTGACCCTGCCCCACCTCTCTCCCCTGCAGCGCGTCAACTCCTGTATCGCACCCAGTGTCCTAGGGAAGAGCCAAGGCCCCAGGGAGCAGCAGAGCCCAGTTGTAACTCCCCCCGTCCCTGCATTGGAGGTGTGACCTCTGAGCCGGCCCCCTGACTCTGGGATGGGCAGGTGGCTCCCACAGGGCCAGCAGTGGCAGGGCTGGGGGCTGGCAGCGACCCCTGGGGAGGGCAGAGTCAGAGCTGGGGCTGAGCAGAGTTGCCAGTTGTCTGGTTTGGAACCAGATAGGCCAGTATTTGAGGTTTCTGTGTGGGACAGAAATGGAGACAATAGAAATGAGACAATGGGATTTCCCGAGGACAATGGAATGTTGGTTGTGATGGAAGGTCAAGTGTGTCGGGTATTTTTGTTGAAACCATCTGGCAACCCCAGGCCTGAGCCAGACTTGGGCCCAGTTCATCTTCTTCTGGCTCAGGAGAGACCCTGGAACGTTAAGGGCCCATGTTGCAGCCAGTTTCCTGCCCTGACCTGGGCCCTTGTCCCCCTGGAGCATCTGGGGGTACAAATTCCCATCGAGGGCCCTGCCCACCCCCCTTTGCTCCAGGAGCTGGGAGTCTCGTAAGCTCCTCTCCCCAGTGGCTCCAGCAGAGGGACATGGGGAGGGAGGCAGCTGGCCCAGGGGGGTTGGGAGCTGGCAGCAGGACACTGATGAGGCCCGTCTCCTCCCTTCCATCCCAGCTCAGCACAGCCCCCACTAGGGAGCTTGGGGCCCAGCTGGGACTGTCCCTCGGGCCCAGCCGAGGACACCGGCCGGCCAGGGAGGGGTCTGGCCCCTCTGCCCGCTGCTTCTGTGCCAGAGGTAAGGGACCCCGCTGGGCACCGGGCCCCCGAGCACTGACACTGAGATGCCAGGCCAGGAGCCTTACTGAAATGTCGCCCCCCAAGACTGCCCCCCTCTCAGGGAATGGGAGCCCTGTCGCTACGCACCAGAGCCTCTGGGACCGGCCCCACGGGAGGGTGAGTCTGTCTCTCTCCCCTCCCCTCCCCTGTGCTCCATGTAGGACCAGCCCCTTCCCAGGCACCAAGGCGCCGGCTCTTTGTGGGGCCAGTGAGGCATCCCACTGGGAACCCAGCCCCAGCCAGGGCCATGGGGCAGCCAGACAAAGCTGAGGGAAACAGCTGGCGTGGGGAGGAGAGAGAGGGGCAGGAGTTGGGTGGGAGTAGGGCATCAGTAACTCCTATGCTGATAGCCCGGGAGCGGTCTGGCCCTGGGGGCACTAGAGCGGCACTGCGCCCATCCTACTGCCCCCCTGGTTCCCAGACACTGAGTCTGACAGGCCCTTGCTCTCTTGGGACAGGAGGAGCCCGGCCACAGGGATGCGCCAGCTCCCCCCGTATGACCCTGGCCCCAGGTGCCCACAACTCAGCAGGGGCTGCCCCAGGCAGCTGGGGAGGGAGCCGCCGGCGGGATCACACCAGGTCTGGAGCCGCTGCCACTGCCGGGCCCTAGAGGGGGGGGGGGCTGCCCCCCACGGGGGATGGAACCACCCACCCATCCCCTGTCCCTGGACAGGGACCTGCACAACCTCGTGAGTCAAGACCAGCTTGCAGACTATAGCCATTAGGCTGCACAGCCCTGACTAAAGGGGCAAAAAACTGTCACTGGCTTTTGGGATGCACTGTCCTGAGAGAAGGGGCAAAGGGCTAACTCTGGCCATTGGGCCACACAGCCCTTAGAAAAGGGGCTAGGTACTGACGCTGGCCATTGGGCCACACTGCCCTTAGAAAAGGGGCAATTACTGACTCTGGCCATTGGGCCAAACTGCTCTTAGAAAAGGGGCAATTACTGACACTGGCCATTGGGCCACACAGCCCTTAGAAAAGGGGCAAAGTTCTGACTCTGGCCATTGGGCCACACTGCCCTTAGAAAAGGGGCAATTACTGACTCTGGCCATTGGGCCAAACTGCGCCATTGGGCCACACTGCCCTTAGAAAAGGGGCAATTACTGACTCTGGCCATTGGGCCATACTGCCCTTAGAAAAGGGGCAAAGTTCTGACTCTGGCCATTGGGCCACACTGCCCTTAGAAAAGGGGCAAGGACTGACTCTGGCCATTGGGCCACACTGCCCTTAGAAAAGGGGCAATTACTGACTCTGGCCATTGGGCCACACTGCCCTTAGAAAAGGGGCAATGTACTGACTCTGGCCATTGGGCCACACTGCCCT